CCCGCCTTCCAGGTGCCCTACCCGCCGCGACAGCTGCTGCGCGACTTCCAGAGCCGCCTGCCCTACCAGTACCTGCACTACGCGCTGTTCAAGGTGGGCGCCCCGGGCGGGCGCGGGGGTTCCTGGACGCGCCCCGCTGTGCTCCCCGCCCTGCCTTACCGCCCCCCACCCCACCCCCAGGCTAACCGGCTGGAGAAGGCGGTGTCGGCGGCCTACACCTTCCTCCAGCGGAATCCGAAGCACGAGCTGACCACCAAATATCTCAACTATTACCGGGGGCTGCTAGACGCCGCGGAGGAGCCGCTTACCGACCTGGAGGCCCAGCCCTACGAGGTGGGGAGCAGGGCCGGCCCACATGCCCTTCCTGGCCCCCACCTTGTAGAAGAGGTGGGCAGCGGGGGGAGGACCCCCTGACCTGACCTGCCACCCTCTTCCTAGGCTGTGTTCCTCCGGGCTGTGAAACTCTACAACAGCGGGGACTTCCGCAGCAGCACCGAGGACATGGAGCGGGCCCTGGCCGAGTACCTGGTGGTCTTTGCCCGGTGTCTGGCCGGCTGCGAGGGGGCTCATGAGCAGGTGGACTTCAAAGATTTCTACCCAGCCATTGCAGGTATCCCTGCCCAGCTCCCTGACTTGGGACCCTCTGGAGGTGGAACCCCCTGTAGCAGTGGTTCTCAACCTGTATTTGAAGACCTCTTTGGGTGTCACAGGGCTCACCCGATTCATAATGGTAGCAAAATGACAGTGATGAAGTAGCAACGAAAATAATGTTATGGTTGAGGGGGTCGCCACAACATGAGAAACTGTATGAAAGGGTTGTGGCATTAGGAAGGTTGAGAACCACTGCCCTATATAGTGCCTGAGGCCCCCCTTCAGATACTAGTGGGTGTGCTGCTGAGTGTACTACCCTCAGGTATCACCCCCCTGTCACTGGGTGCAGAAGGCTACAGTAGACATGCCCAACAGGTGACTCAGCACTGAGAGGCATCAGAAGGGCCTGGGAAAGGGGACACTGGCAGGTCTTTTAGGCAGAGGACAATGTGTGTCCAGCCTAAGTGAAGATGTGTGTGTCCAGCCTAAGTGAAGAGGCAGATGCAGCCAGATGCAGACTCCTTAGCCCTGGGGTCCTTCAGAGGGGCTTACCCACAGCTTCACTGGCCCAGCCTAAAACTCCCCCATTCCCAGAGCCTCACCGTGGCGCGCTCTGCCCTGTTGGCAACTAGGACCAGCATCACTTACTGTGTGTCAAGCCCTATGTGGACAACATAGCACTTTATCGGCCCAGCCCCTTTCCTGGACAAGACCACGGAAGCGGGGGCTCAGCGGACAGGGCTGTTATCCGCAGGTACCCCCACCAGTTGGTCAAGTTGGTCAGCGTGCCGGTGCTTCACTGCTGTCTCCCCCTCCCCGCCAGATCTCTTTGCAGAATCCCTGCAGTGCAAGGTGGACTGTGAGGCCAACCTGACCCCCAACGTGGGTGGCTTCTTCGTGGAAAAGTTCGTGGCCACCATGTATCACTACCTGCAGTTCGCCTACTATAAGTGTGAGCTTCCCCGGTGGGCTTACATAGGGGGAGGATCTGATGGGGGCGGGGCTTCTAGAGTTAAGGGGAACTGTCCCTCAGGATGGGAGAGAGGCTGAAAGTGGAGGAGTGCTGGATAAGAACCTTGGGGGCCTTGGGCAGGTGAGAGGCTTCTGGGTGGGGACCGAGAGCCCCTTCGGGGGAGGATGAGAGGGCCCGGCCACATCTGTTTGTCTCTCGCTCACTGCTCTCACTAAGAACCCTGGGTGGCTGGCACTAGGAACAATTGATCCATTTTTCAGATGAGGAAACTAAGGCTCGTAGAGGGCAAGGGGCTGGCCCCCAATCACATGGCTTATAAAAAATAGCAGCCAGATTGAGGCCAAGACTGGTGTGTGTGTGGGGTAGGGGAACTTCCTTACTGGAAGGAGAGCCTGGTGTCCACTGAGGGCTGGACTGGGTCATCTCCAGGGTTCCTGGGAGTCTGAGAAGCCACAGTTCAGACCGAGGCTGGGCTTGGAATAGAGGGGCTGAGGACCAAGGGGCCAGGGACACCTTTCGAGGGCTCAGATGGCAGAGAGGCTAGGGACCAGGCTTTCCGGGGCCATCCCTCTCCAGTTGTCTGAGCTCGAACAGGCTGCCCAACCTCTCTGGACCTCGGTTTCTTCTTGTTGTGTTGACCTTGTTGTATTGCACATCGTGGACACTGCATTTTCATAAGTTCAAGGTTTGTGGCAACCCTGCTTCGAGCAAGGCTGTTGACACC